TGAATTCGAATCATATGTTAAGTCCAGCACAGAGGTACAAACGTTGGTACAGTCATCAGAATTCAAGGTCAGAAAAGGTCAGCTTTCAGAGAAATTTGAAGGACTTTGCTGACACTGTAACAAACCTGAGCACAAGAGAGATCAATGCTGGAAACTTCAACACAGGAAGATGACACGGCAGGAAAGGCTGCTACCCAGAAAGGTTGTTGGAACTGTGGAGAGCTAGGACATATGAGGAGTCATTGTAAGAAAAATACTACCAATAAGTCAGCTTCGGGAAACCAGTAGTGTTTGGTGTTGAGGGACGCCCACCAGCCCTCATTGTGAAAGTCCCAACAGCTAAGTGTAAAATGGCAAGCACACATAGTAGCTATGTGACAGGAAAGCTGGATGGCCAAATGTGCAACTTTGTCAGAGATTCTGCATCTCAGCAAACCCTTGTGAGTTTGTATTCTTGAGGTTCTAGAGTACCAGAAGCCATACAGAAGCTTTGTGGTGTGACATTATGCAAGGTTGTGGGGACCAGTGTTGGTAACTATTGAGCTCATGGGCATAAAGAACAGACACAAAGTATACTAGGCTGACATTGAAGACAAATGCATATTAGAGTTGGACTACTTTCTACCAAGGAAGTGTGTACTTAATTTTGAAGAAATGACGTTTGTGAACAACAAAGGCCATATTCTGATAAGTGTTGCTGCATCTGTTGATATGCATGTCACAGCACTTAAATCAACTACAATACCCCCTATGTCAGAAAAGATAATTTGGGGTAGGATAAAAGAACATCCCCAAGGAAGCCCAATGCATTTGGAAGCAGTGGAAGACCCGTCCAGGTCAGCAGACGTGAAGATTGGACGGTCACTTATGGCTGGTCATCAAGTAGTACCCATAACAGTGGCTAATTTCTCTAAATGTGAGCAGACACTTTAGGAAGGGGTATTGTTGGGTGTATGCCAGGAGGTAGAGCTAGTCAATGTTAAAGCAAGAAACACCCGCTGTTTTCCCAACCATTGCCATGGTTTGATTCTCGTTAAAAAATTTGCTCTTTCCCAACCACTGCCACAGTTTTGATTTGTGTTACAATAGCTGCTGTTTTCCAACCATTGCCATAGTTTGATGTGTGTTACAACACCTGCTGTTTTCCAACTATTGCCACAGTTTTGATCTGTGTTACAACACCTGCTCTTTTCCTAACCATTCCCATAGTTTTGATCTATGCAACAACACCTGCTGTTTTCCCAACTATTGCCTTGACACCATCACTACACACCAACACATTTTTCCCAACTAATTTCATATGTTTTCTTGAAGTTGTTAATGCATTTGAATATTTCTTCACCAGTTGTGTTGCATTGTATAGATTCACATAAAAGCAGGTCCTTCTCAACAGATTTATCAAACACATAACACACTAATATCAGCAATACTGCAGTCCCTGACATATCATCTAGCTGAAATGAATATTGCAAGGTTTCAGTTGGAAATCTAGCTCGTTCTTGATGTCAAGATCTCAACTTCAATGGCGACAATATTGTTTGACAGCTGTAATACCTCAGTTTTTTTACCAACCTGCTCATCAAGCATAGAGTTTACAATATGTTGAGCTTAATTTTAGTTAGCCTACTATTTATTATTTATTGTAGCATATGTTGAATTATATTTTAGTTAACCTACTGTTTATTATGTATAGTAGCATATGTTGAGTTATATTTTAGTTAGCCTACTGTTTATATTTATAGTATCAAATGTTGAGTTATATTTTACTTAGCCTACTATTTATTATTTATAGTAGTATATTTATAATATGCTTCATTTGTTAGAACAGCAGGTGTAAGGGTTTTATTATATTAAGTAGCTTACATGTTAGAAACTATAGGTAACCAATACACGTGCTCTGTTTGCCTTAACAAACAAGAGTAGGTTACTGCAAGTAGTTAACATACTATATTTAAAGCTGTTAAAAAGATACCATAGTTAATTTTTTATCTGTTTCAATGCAAAAATATTTTAGTTAATGAAAAGTTGTTTACTTAAAACTCTTTTATATTGAAGTTATATTTACAACAGTAACTTTAAATTGTGATTTATCGACTAATTTATTTGTGTAAATATTTTTTGTGTCTTAAGACATTTTGAAATTTTTGTAGGAAAACGTTTTGAAGCTAATGAAGATAATTCAACCAAGGTAGAAAATCTGATAACATCTGAAGTTCTTCTAGGAACTGAGGTATACATTACATTTAGGCCATGAAAGGTGTGCATGTTCAGGTAGATATTGAGATAGAATAGGTAATTAAAGATATTGTTAAGACAGCAGAAGTCGCGTGACACTGGGAGCATGTGCACTGGAGTTTTTCGAATTATCGAGGAACTCTGCGAATGTCCGAGTGTTTGCTAGACGCCTTCTTTTTTAAAATATAAGCCTGGCAAGAAAAACCAGCAGGATTGAAGAGATAGAGATAATTGAGTGAAGCGAACAGTAGGCACCATAAGTAAAGTTTGTGAATCACTATGGTTTATAGCATGTGTTATAAAGGTTGTTAAGTTTAAAGTGACTGTGGAAATTCTGTGTTTTACTAAAAGTTGTATCGAGAAAGATTAAACTGGTTTAATCAAGAAAGGACTTGTATCGCTGAAGTTCCTTGGAAATAATTTCTGCCGGAAATTAACAAACAAGCAGATACACAACAATACAAAGGCTATGAAAATAGCAATATTTCTATTAGAAAAAATTAATATTGTATAATTAGTTATTATTATGTAAAGGTGGTTACATACTAGTACGAATAATGAGTTATTATTATATAAAGGTGGTTACATACTAGTACGAATAATGAGTTATTATTATATAAAGGTAGTTACATACTAGTACGAATAATGAGTTATCATTATATAAAGGTGGTTACATACTAGTACGAATAATTAGTTATTATCATGTGAAGGTGGTTACATACTAGTACAAATAATGAGTTATCATTATATAAAGGTGGTTACATACTTGTACGAATAATTAGTTATTATTATATAAAGATGGTTACATACTAGTACGAATAATTAGTTATTATCATGTGAAGGTGGTTACATGCTAGTACGAATAATTAGCTATTATCATGTGAAGGTGGTTACATACTTGTATGAATAATTAGTTATTATTATATAAAGATGGTTACATACTAGTACGAATAATTAGTTATTATCATGTGAAGGTGGTTACATACTAGTACGAATAATGAGTTATCATTATATAAAAGTGGTTACATAGTAGTACACAAGCATGAGGTAATTATTTGCCTTAACCAAATTTTAATTTATATAATATGGACTTCTTCAGTTTTGAAACTTATCTTTCTAAATAATAGCTACATTAGATGAGATTTGCAGTTATTTAAACTGTATTCAATAGTTTTGTTTTAGGAAGATTTTTTCAGGCTGAATTTGACATCTAAGTTGAATACTTTAATTGCTTGTCAGCCTTCATATAGTTAATACTGTAGTAAAACAGCTATATACGACTTGGGTAGTTTCATCAAACACTAGAGTTTAATGATACATGTTTCAAAGATGTTTTATTCACCTGAAGCATTAGTGTAAAAGATTTGAAATTTCTCTGGTGTTTTCGAAACTGTGGGATGTACCCCTAGGGGAGGCGTGTACTGGTGGCTTGAAGGTATGGCCTTTTGGTGAAAGACCCCAAAAATAATAACAGAAGAAACAGAAGAGTTGGAGATGATGATAACCTAACAAAACTATCACTTTGCTCTTGCATTTACTCACTCCTTACAATGTAGATTTTGTTGTTATCACTTGTTAAAATTAGTTTAATGTGAAGGGGGCCCAACAGAAACTTTGTTGAGTTAGGGGGGGTGCCGCTACTTAAAGTTTGGAAAACACTGTTTTAAGGTAAGAAAAATCTTCAGGCACAAGAGAGCAAAGAACTGATAAATTCTTTGAGTTGTTTAACCAGTCACTTGGATATTACATGGGTATTAAAACTAGCTATAACAAGAAACAAAGATCTTGTAATATTTTGTTGGTAGTAGGTAATACAATTTAACAGGTGAAAAATTGGTGATTCTGTAGATCAGATATACATCTTTCATAGACACACTTGATTTTTGATGTTAACAAAGGATTTCTGTAAGATTTTATAATGGATGCCTTGTTTTCATGTTACTTGATGTTTCACCCACTGTTGCTTTTACAACATCATAGTTTGAATGTATGTGCAATATACGGGTAAATATTAAGTGTTTTCTTTGTTTTAATTTTGTTGCCCAATAAAAATTAAAGTAAAATAATTGAGGCAGTTTACTTTTTTAGCTGAGCAGTCAGACTTATATACTAAAGATTAGAATACATAATTCAGATAAGATTGAATTGAGGGCATTAAATACAAATGCCTCATTGAGAATTGTTATTTATGTTTTATTAGCTATTGATTGAAAATCAAATAGTGAATCATAAAACATAATACTTGAATACAGGATCAGCTATAATTTAACTGGCAACCTAGAAAGAAATTAAAACTGCATCCTTTTTCACACTAGAGTATTTGTTGCCATAGTTAGCTGTCTCTGTTGTCTGTTCTTGATGCCAGGCCTGCTTGTATATGTAATGATTAGATTTTACATTATTTTAAGTATCTCTTAAAGCATTATTTTGGTGCAGGATAGTCTTTAATCACTTTATAATTATACAGTTATGTTATTTAAAAATAAGAAATTGTCAATTCTCTTTTTTAATGTGTTTTTAATAATATAGGAAGGTTCTGTTCTTGATGCTGACTGGCGTTTCACTAAAGATGAAACTGGCAAAATTTCTAGTAAGTTTTTGTTGATCTAGTTTGAAAGGTGTTACATATTTGTGGTTATATTTTTTGCTTGGTAAGACAGAGAGTATATGAAAAGACCAAGTAACTGTACAGAAACTGTTTGGTTGTTAGTTGTTGTTTTGTTTGAATCTTTTTTTTTCAGTAAATTGCACATTCTGTATGTCAGTTGCAGCTTTGTACAATTGTCTGAAAACATAAAATAGATGGATACTGTGTTATTTCAAGTTCAGGTCATCTCCTCTCTTTCTCTGATGGGATTCAAAAAGTTTGTTTACCGACCGTAGCTGCTTTCTTTCTAAGTGTTTGTTAAATACTCCTGATGCACAGAATCAAACAGATCCAAGCATGTTTGGAAAGTGGTCAAATCAGAATCATTGGTATTATTATAGTTATTTTTTATCTGTTGAATAAAAAACATGATAGTAAGTTTTAACCATTGATTGTAAGTTATAGTTTGGTAACCATGTTTGTAATTTAGTAGGTATAACTAGGAAGAAAAACTTGTGCTTCGCATATGAAACATTTTTTTGGTTGTGGTATTTTTTAATTGAATGCACAAAGATTATAGAATGTAAAGGCAGTGCTGTGTATTTAGAATAATTAAAACAGTTAAGTGACCTGCCTGAACTACTCATATAAGATGTTACGTGTGTAGAGTTCTGAATGAATCTGATGGCCTTGCGAGGTGTCTCAGTGACTGCATGGTTAAACCTAAGTCAGTTAAACCTATTTCACAACATGTGATACCCACTAATCACCTCTAGTACAAAAGGCACTTTGAACTGAATTGTGTGATCAAAAATGACAAACTAGTCAACTCATCTAGTAAGAGTCACCAGATCTAGTAACGCTTGCAAAACCTGGATTTCAGGGGCAAGTATTAAACCTCAACAGGGTGATGGTACAGGTACTCCAAGTGTCTATGAACAAATGAAGAAATTCACACACAAAACCTTAACACATAAATACTGCTATTTAAGATGGGGCTCTGAGAGATGACAGATCCATTTCCCCCCAAATACCTTCCCTTTCCAATACATAGTACTGTTATGTCTCCGTTTGTTAATTGATTTTTCCGTAACTTCGTTCCGACGAAATTTTAACGACACAAGTCTTTACTTAAATAAAACTGGTTTATTCTTTCCGAATATATATTTACCGATACACTCAACTTCAACAATCGCGCTAAACAAACGCTATAACAACGAACGTCAATAATACTTCTGACTGCAGTTCAATTACTCACTGTCCACACACACATTACATTCCCCTCTTTTATATACCAGCCTACCCTATCTAGCAAATACTAGAGCATTCGCCAAAGTATATGATAGTTCTAGAAACGTTGCGTCACAGTAGTCATGTGACTCGCTGACGCAACAATACCTTTAAGGTTTTAGCCTGAGCTTCAAATTTTTCGTTATTTAAAAAATGACAAAAGTATCAAACTCTTTTCGAAATAAATGAAAATTTTACTCTTTTAGAAACAATATTTTCTCTGGCTTGCAATCATAATTTTCTTGTTATGTTGAAACGATTCTGATTTTCTGTTACATTACAGAGGTGTAGGAGGCAAATTAAAAGTGGGGGTCAAGGTTTATTTGCCAAATCGAATCAAGGGGATGTACGCCGGAAACGCATCCATTACGGCCGGGGTCCAGGGCTCGCCTTAGCGCTCTAGAATGTTTTGGGTTCTGGATTAAATTTTATACATTCTCCTGCTTTTCGTGAGAGTAATTTTCCTAATTTTGATACGTTTTTACTGAGACAGATTGCAAAGTGTGGTGCTGGGGGGCACCCCCGCTCTTCCTATGTCACTGCATTAGGCAAAGGTGAAGCTTATTTTGAGACCATGGTTTCACACATGGACGCCACTGTGGGCGATATTTTTGCTTTATACTGTCAGGCTTTAATTACGCATTATAACTATATAATGAAAACCTTCAAAGAAGCTGATGTGGCCCTACTAAGTTTGTAATAGCTTATATGCTATAATTTAAAACACAACTATGCTAAGCGTATTATGTACTTTATCTCAGAAGGGTCTGACGTGGCCTAGTGTTTAGCATGCAAGAAAGGTGAATCTGAGGTTCATGGTTCGCGTCCCTTTGTCGCGAAACCATGCTCCGCACTTTGGGCATATGGGTGCGGTATAAGAATGACAGTCAAATCGCACTATTCGGTCGGACTAGAGTAGTCCAAAAGTTGGCAGTGAGTGTTGTTGGCTATCTGTCTTCCTTATAACCCAATAGACCAAAATAAGGGACGACTATGCGCAGATAGCCCTCTTTTAACTTTGCGCAAAGATTCCAAAACAAAGAATCAAATCTATTCCAGAAAATTTCGAAACTGCTCTGACAAAGTTGATAATTGAAATTACTACGTGTGCTTGACTTCTGAACAACACAGCTCTAACATACACAACTTACTTGCGATACTGAGAAGTACATTGAAATGTGATGACGACAACTGTAGAAGGCGTTCTTAGTGTAATTTAATGCAAGAACAGTATTTTCACGAATAACTTTCATCAACAAAAAAAGCAAAAAATTGTTTGTTTCTTTCTTTGAGATTTACGTGCAAAACTGCACGAGGGTTGTTGTTTTAGCGTAGAACTACGCAATGGGACACCTGCGCTCTGTTTGCAGTGAGAAATTGAACTACTGATTTTAGTGTTGTTAGTTCGCAAACTTATTGCTGAGCCACCAGGGGACCTACATAAGGGTTTGTTTGTTTGTTTGTCTGTTATTAAGCACAAAGCTACACAATGGGCTATCTGTGCTCTGCCCACTACGGGTATCTAAACCCGGATTCTAGCGTTGTAAGTCCACAGGCATACCGCTGTGCCACTCGGGGGCTCTACATAAGGGATACCTGTGCATAGCATTCCCTAATTTTGAATTGATTATGTATGTTTGTTGATTTTCTCATAAAGCTACTCAAGGGCTATCTGTGCTATCTGTCCCTAATTTTAAGCTGATAGACTAGAAAAAAAGCAGATACTCAATACCACTCACTGGTAGCTCTTGAGCTATTCTTTTACCAACGAAAAAGGGGCATTGACCGTTACATTATAACGCCCACACAGATGAAAGGGCGAGCATGTTTGGTGACATGATTCAATCCCGCGACCTGCAGATTACGAGTCGACCGCCCTAACCACCCATGCCAGGCCTTTGGATTTATAAACTAGAGAGCAGACAACTAGTCAATTTCACCCACTGTCAACTCTTGTGCTAAATTTGTTTGATTGAATAATGAATTTTCCCCATGACTCTTACAACGTACATACACTGAGTGGTCACAAGTAAATAGACACCTAATTTTTCGTCATTTAACTGATTTATGCTAACTAATTTGTGTTCACAGAGTACTATATAAATGAAAATGGTCCGCACACTAATTATCTTGTACTACAACATGTCTAGAACTCAAGGTTCTCTCAAATTGTCAGATTTTGTTAGAGGAAGGATAGTTGGTCAAGCAGATGGTGGAATAAGTCAGCGGCAAATTTCGCAGAATTTGGGAATCCCGTTTTCGACAGTCAACAGAATCATCGTGCAGTTCAGGAAACACGGCAAGGAAACAACCAAGCAGCGTCCGGGTCGTTCTGGTCCATCGGAGAAGACAAAAAGGGCTGTCAAGAGGAGCATAGAAATGGGTCGCAGATTAAAGACTGCAGAAGTGGCCAAAGTTGGTGGAATGAGCCCGAAATCTGTTCAACGGATTAACCACAGATTGGGTTATCGTTGCAGAGCAGCTAGACGGAAGCCCTTAATAAGACCTGCCAATATAGTCAGACGAAAGAAGTGGGCAAGTGATATGATGACCAAGCCTCTGGACTTTTGGAAGACCGTATTGTTCTCAGGCGAATCAAGATTCGCTCAATTTTCGGACAGTGGAAGGATATGGGTCTGGAGAATGCCTCACCAAGAGTTTTGGCTCAACAGATTGCAGCCAACTGTGAAGCATGGTGGTTTCAGCGTGGTGGTTTGGGGAGCTGTTTGGTTTGGTGGGAGATCGAGCTTAGTGGAGTGCGTTGGCAACATAAATTTTGCAAAGTACGCGAAATATTGAA